TTTATTATATTACGTTTACATTTGGTAACAATTTGGTAACAATCCAAATGGATATCCAGTGACGATATGTTGATCGATTAAATACCCTTACGCCATCTATACGCATAGTTTCTGCTGTTATATCGGGCTATTTATCAGCCAGTTGGTAGCTACAACATATTTATTGGTTATTGCTTTTAGTAAAATCATTTGACCGCTTGGTGGACGCAAAAGTTTTATTTCTCGGTCATTTTGCCGTCGTAACGTTGTACAGTCTAGTTCGGAGTGTCTTGAAAAGTTTTATAACAATTATTTTTTATCAGAACTTTGTATAAAGTGATTATTTATTTCTTCGTGTCCATAGTCGGGAATTGGTAAGTTTATTACCGTAAACATACACCATAAAAGCTTTTCTTCCTACTTTGCATCTCAATTTTTTGTCGAGTGTCATATACCTTTTTTCCAGTGAACAACAATTATTTATGAGTTTGCGTTGAATTGATCGCCTTAAATCCTCCACCATTTGGAGCGAATTAGAAAATTTTCAAAAAAAAATAAAATCCAATAAAAATTCTTTTAAAATCTTTAAAATATCTAATATAGGAAGGTGCCGATATATGAGGGGATATACGATATTGTGGACCTTTAAAGACAAATCTATGTCTGCGTGTAAAGTACTCACAAGGAACTCCGTGTGTTGATTTCAAATCATAAAATACCGAATATCGGGAGGTAACGTTATATGGGGGATATACGATATCGTGGACCTGTATAGACAATTCTCTCTCAGGGGGTGAAGTACTCACAAGGAACTACTTCTGTTGATTTTAAGACAATTCCATTGAAAAGCGTGGCTAACATCATCAAAATACCGAATATCGGAGGTTACAGTTATATGGGGGATATACGATATCGTGGACCTATATAGACACTTCATTTTGAGGAGGTAAAATGCCCACAAGGGACTCCTTTTGTGGATTTTCAGACAATTCCGTTGAAAAATGTGTGTAAAATCATCAAAATACCAAATATCGGGGGTACCGTTATATGGGGGCTATACGATATTGTGGACCTATATAAATAATTCTCTGTCGAGGTATAAAGTACCCACAAGGAACTCCTTGTGTGGATTTTAAGACAATTCCGTTGAAAAATGTGGGTAAAATCATTAAAATACCGAATATCGGGGGGTACCGTTACATGGGGGCTACACGATATCGTGGACCGATATAGCCCATCTTCGAACTTGACCTGCCTGCAGACAAAAGAGAGATCTGTGCAAAATTTTAGCTTCCTATCTTAATTCGTTTAGACTGTAGCGTGATTACAACAGACGGACAGACGGACGGACAGGGCTAAATCGTCTTAGAATTTTACGCTGATCAAGAATATATATACTTTGTTGGGTCTAAAATGATTATTTCGATGAGTTACAAACGGAATGACGAACTTAATATACCCTCCATACCTTTTTTGGTGGAGGGTATAAAAATTACAAGTTAAAAAGCACTAAGTTCGGCCGGGCCGAACTTTTAATACCCTCCACCATTTGCAACGAATTTGGAAATTTTTAAAAAATAAAATACTTGAAAAATTCTGTTAAAATTTTAAAAATACCGAATATAGCCGTCATTAGCCATATTCAAATTGGAAACTTGAAATAAACGGTAAATAATGTAGCTAAAATCATCAAAATATCGTATATAAGGAGGTGCCGTCAAATTGGAGCTGTGCAAAGACCTGGACCAGCATAGACAGTTTTCTGTCACAGGCTGTAGCATCCATTACGAACTACAAATACCACATTTCAAACAATTTCGGTGGGTATTGTACCTAAAATCGTCAAAATACCGAATATGGGGAGGTACTGATATATTGGGCCTATACGAAGACCTGGACCCGCACAGACAATTTTCTGTCACAGACTGTAGTATTCATTACGAACTTCAAATACCAATTTTCAAACAATTCCGGTGAATAATGTCGCTAAAATCATCAAAATACCGAATATAGGGAGGTACCGTTATATGGGGGCTATATGAAAACGTGAACCTACATGGCCCATTTAAGAACTTAACCTGCCTACTGGAAAAATAAACATGTGTGCAAAATTTTAGCCATCTATCTCAATTCATTCGAAAGATAGCGTGATTACAACAGACAGATAGACGGACAGACAGACAAACAGACGGACATCGCTAAATCGACTTAGAATTTTACGCTGATCAAGAATATATATACTTTGTTGGGTCTGACATGAGTATTTCGAGGAGTTACAAACGGAATGACAAAGTTAATATACCCTCCATAGTTTGGTGGAGGGTATAAAAAAGAGAGAAGTCTGGATTGTGTTCCAACTTAGTTTGATTGAAACAATCTATATATTAAAGAGATAAGCAATATGAATTGTAAGCGTGTTGCCAGTGCTGAGTTGCAGACGGTTATCAACATTGTTGGGGAAAAGAACATGTGTACTTACACGTAAGTACATTTGTACGTGCTCCAGGTAATATTTCATCATGATGATATTTTGGATCATTAGGTTTTAATTATAATTACTCAAATTTTAACTGGATTAATCGAGATATTATTTATGGTTGATTATTACGAACTTTACATGCTAATGGTGCATCAGTTTTTCCCTCCATCATAGTATGGAGGGTATATTAACTTAGTCATTCCGTTTGTAACTCCTCGAAACATTCATAATAGACCCTACAAAGTATATATATTCTTTATCAGCGTAAAGTTCTATGACGATCTAGCAATGTCCGTCTGTCTGTTGTAATCACGCTATATTCCGAACGAATTGGGATAGAAGGCTAAAATTTTGTCTTCATGCTTAGTTTACCAGTAGGCCGGTTAAGTAATATAATTATTATACTTTAATATTGATTTTGTTGCTATTAGTATGAAAGAAACAATTCATAATCTTAATAAAGTTAATTCTTAAGGAATTATATCTGAGCCAAATATGTAAGAAATTGATATAAAATAATGTGAATACATATTTATTAAAAGAAAACCAGTAAAGAAAGTCTTAAAGTCGGGCGGGGCCGACTTTATGATACCCTACACCACTTTGCTAATTTAGTAGAGCTCCACATAACAAATAAAAGTTTTTATGGGAGAATTCAAACATACACGCTATGATTATAATTATAATTTAAAGTTCAAAGGACTAAATATGCCGAAGCATTTGTATCTTTTAAATTCGGAATTGTATTGCCCATTTGGTGCACAATTAATTTGAAATCGGATAAAGATATATATGGGAGCTATATGCAAATCTGAACCGATCTCGATAAAATTTGGCAAATATATTTCTGAGCTGTATTTGATATATTTCCCCGAATATCGTTGTTACGGAGTGCATACTACGGCTGTGGGTAACAAATATGACAAATCGGATGAACAATATATATGGGAGCTATAGCTATATCTGAACCGATCTTCACCAAATTTGACATACTACCTTCTAGACCCGATTCGGTCGTAAGTGCCAAATTCCATCCCATTTGGACAAATATTAGACGTCTGGTGCACAATAAAATGTAAATCGGACGAAGTTATATTTGGGAGCTATATCCAAATCTGAACCGATCCCGATAAAATTTAGCAAGTGTATTTCTGAGCTGCATTTGATATATTTCCCCAAATATTCTTGTTGCAGAGTGCATATTACGGCGGCGGTGGACAAAAATAACAAATCGGATGAACAATATATATGGGAGCTATAGCTATATCTGAACCGATTTCAACCAAATTTGGCATACATATTTTCAGACCTAATTTGGGTGTATATGCAAAATTCCATACAATTCGGGCTGATATTACACGTTTGGTGCACAATAAAAGGCAAATCGGACGAAGATATATATGGGAGCTATATCTAAATTTTGACCGATTATTTCCAATTTCAATAGGGTTCGTCCTTGGGCCAAACAAATGATCTGTGCAAAATGACATCTAGATCGGGCAATAAATGCGGCCTGTACTTTGTTTACAAAAATACATGGACAGACGGACGGACGGACGGACGAACGGACGAACGGACGGACATGCATAAATCGACTCTGAATGTGATTCTATGCAGATCATCAAAAGGAACTATGGGTCTATCTCGTTTCCTCCTGCCTGTTACAAACAAATGCACAAAGACATAATACCCTGACCACCTTGTGGTGTAGGGTATAAAAAGTTTGAACAATTCAATATGAATTTTTAATAAAACATAAATTTGTAATAAAACATTTTACTCAAAGGATTTAATTTTAGAAATAGTATCGTTTTCTTATATTAATTTGTTTTTATTGGTTCATATATTTTTTCAACTGGTTTAACACCATGTTATTCTTTTGAATTAGTTAAATATTCAATAACCCGAGATTCAAATTTTTCTTTTTGAAATACACTTAATGATGAAGATTGAGCTATATTAAAACGTATAATAGGTGTATTAATTTTAAGAATTGTAGGAGTTGATTAATTTTTTCTACTCCGGAGGAAAAGGCTTTAAAAAATTATAGTTTCTCTTATTTTTAGGATCTATATGATTTATGCATAATATTTCTACTTATGGACATATAAATTATCTTTAATTTTAGGAATGTTAAGAATTAATTAAGAATTAAGTCTTTTCATCAATATTGATATGAATATTTTATAATAAATAGGTAATTAATAAAAACAATTATTTGAGCTTGAGGTCAAACTTTTTGGTTTTTTTTTTTTAATTATTTATTTTTCTTTTTCCGATATTTCGAAGCTCTTTGAGTTTCATCTTCAGGGTGATCTACAAATTAAATAACAAAACATACAACATATTAACATTATCACAGAACAGGACATAAACATGTAAAAAAAAAACGCTTACTTGCAAATAATTAAAATAATAAACTTAAAACTAGCGTAGTGTGACTACTACCGTCAAGTGTTATTATTGCACTGATAATTATTTGCATATTGCACGATCTCTTTTTGTTAAATGCCTGTAGCAGTAAGCTGTGTTGTCCCCCGCTAGCAACATGAACTAGTTCGGCATCGGAAACCCGTCGATTCTCAGAGTTACAGTAACTAGTTCCACTTAAGACCCCTCACAGTGCAAACAACTGTAAACTTTAACATGGGGATGTCATACGAAGTAACCAATTGGCTCCCTTTGCATTACCTGTAGATGGTACTTTACTAGTTCCAGGTTTACAGTCATATACCAGTGACAAAAGACTAACCCTTACCAAGTTCCAAGTACACAGCCACAGACTAGTGTCAGCAGACTACCTTTTAACTAGTTCTATGTATACAGTTATGTACTAGTGTCATTTGACTATCCCTTATCTAGTATAAGCAGACCAATTTTAAACTGGTTTCCCATGAACTAGTTCAGTACCAATTATTGTTAGTGAAATTCTAATTTTTAGTTTTAATTCATTTTTTTATTGCAAACAAATGAATACAAATATACCTTACTCTATAAAACTTAAACAAAAATAAATTAAATTTAATATTTATAAAAGCACTTGTATTGCTTTTCGCAGTTGTGTTTCAGGGGTGTCCGAATATTCTGTAACTGGTATTGAATCTGCAAAAAATAATGTTTAATGTATCAAAATGTAGAATATAAAAATAATGTTTATATACACCTTACCTAAAATAACTCTATATATATTACTTAGGGACTTCAAACTTTTTTCCATGGTTTCCCTCAATATTATACACGTAGTAATATTTGAACCGATAACATTTTTAAACATTTCGATATTTCTTCTCCTTTTATAATTCATGCTATAATCTTTACCTAAAAATTAACAAAAATTGTATATAATCTATGTTTGTTCAGCAATACATTTAAAAAATACTTACATATATGTATTGATTCTCAATATTTTTCATAAGTGATGGGGAACCTATTCGATAATGGTATCTCATCACTTTGAGATCGTAGCACCATCACCTTTAACTCAGCTTAATCATCAGCTAAAATTTTGATTTGACCTATAGTGAAAACAAACAAATTAATAATTTGTAACAATTCTGAGAAGAATGCTATAATTTTACCTTGAATTACTTTTATTATTATTTTATTACTATTATTACTTTTACTACTCATTCTTACCTTTTTATTTGTTATTTTCAACACTTTATAACTTATTTGCACAGAAAAATGATACTTCACTTCACAACGATCAGAATAAGAATGCTTTTTCCAAACAAAACGCACTTGCATTCCTCAAGAATAACGGTGCATTGTTTTTTTATTGGTAATCTAAAAAAAAACTATTCAAAGTGGTTCTTGTTCGTAGAGATCTCATTCAAATGTTCGTTTGGTTTTTTCGAGGTGGTTTTTATTTATGCACAATTGTCGCTTCTTTGCATTACTTGGGGACGAAAAGGTGTCAATTGGTTACCTTTGCATTACTTGGGGACACATTTGGCATTAGTCCGGCTTATATCTAGTATAGGACTGGTGAAATTGAGTTAAATGGAATTTTCATTGCCAGCGGGCCGTGTCTGCTTTGCTGTTTATTCTCTTTGTTGTTGATAAACTATTGATGTGAAGCATCTCTATCGTTAGTCTCTTGTTGTAATGATGTTCCGTTTGTAACACTCTCACGTCATCGATCTTAGGTGTATGGTTGTACTGTTTACAGTGTTCGGCTAACGCTGTTTTTTGTATCGAATTATTGTTTCTTAATTTGATGTCTGATTTGTGTGCTGACATCCTAGTTTTTAGTTTGTTTTTTGTTGTGCCAACGTAAAGTTTTCCGCAACTTTCTTCCTTGTTACCACCACATTCAATTTTGTAAACTACATTATGTTTGTCCATTTTTGGAATTTTACTTTTCATGTTTGTAAATAAAGATTTTGTTGTGTTATGTGAGCTATGTGCTATTGTGTATTTATTTTTGTCATATATTTCTGACTTTTCCAATCTTTCTGATATATTTGGTAAATATATCAGGGATTTGTATATCTTCGGCGGGTCTGTTTTCTGCGAATCTCGACTTGAATGTTTATTCTTATAATAATTTTCAATTAGGGATTTGGTTATATGTAATGGGAAGTTATTATTAATTAGAATGTCTTTTATTTTTAATTTGTTTTGGAAATGAAATTGTTCGTCGCTTATTGTTAGTACTCTATTTATTAAGTTTTTCGCTGTATTGATAATTGTTCGTTTTGTGTGTTTAGAGTAGTAATTTATTATTCTACCTGACGCTGTAGGTTTTTGATACCAATTTATATTTATCGTATTATCTGCATTTCTTATTACTAATGTGTCCAAATATGGGATTTTTCCGTCGCATTCTTCTTCCAACGTAAATTTAATGTTTTTGTTGAAACTATTTAGTACTGTCAGCGTTTCTTGTATTGCATCTTCCCTTATAATTAAAAACAAATCATCCACGTATTTCGTCAGTATCTTTGGTTTTGATTGTAATCTTTGCAAGCTTTCGTTGAGCAGTGATTCCATAACCAAATCTGCAATTATGGGTGATGCTGGAGATCCCATCGGTAGCCCTGCTTTTTGTTTGTATATTTAGTCATCAAACTTGAAGTATCTGTTGTCCTTTATGCAAAATTTTACAATATTCAGAAACATGTCTTTGGTTATGTTTGTATATTGTTCTATTTCTTCCCATCTTTCTTCAATTATATTTAGTCCTAATTCTACTGGAATACTTGGGAACAGTGAGACCACGTCGAATGAAACCATTTTTTCATTATTATTAACTGTCAGGTTCTTTATCTTATCCCTAAATTGCACAGAATCCCTTACGTTGTAAACTGATTTTGTCGTCAAATTATTTAATATGTTTACTATGTATTTGCACAGTTTTATTGACGGGGAATTTATAGACGAACATATGGGTCTTAATGGATAGCCGTCTTTGTGGATCTTTGGCAAGCCATATATTCTTGGGGCAATCGCAATTTCTGTTTGAGTCTTTTCTTCTCTATTGTCGAAATTATATTATTTTTGAAAAGTTCTTCAACGATATCATTATTTTTCTTTTGAAGGTTTGACGTAGGGTCCTTATTGATACGTTGATACGTCATCATGTCTGAGAGCACATTGGACATTCTTTCTTTGTAATCATTTTTGTTCATGGCTACAGTCACGTTGCCTTTGTCTGCATTTAGTATTAATATGTCTTTATTTTGGTTTAGAAATTTTCGGGTTCGTTCCACTGTGCCTATCACGTATTTGTCTCTATTGCTCTCTCTGCTTCTATTCATATGTGTTTCCAGCATATTTGTTAATTTTGTTCTTCCCATTTCTTGTTGTTCTTTGTCATTGTTTGTTTGTATGAGATCTTCCGCGTCCGCAATATATTTGAATAAAGGGAAATGTGTTCTTCTTGTTGGTAAGCAGTGTTTGTCTCCTAAGGAGAGTAACCATTTTATGTCATCTGGGAAAGTTTTGTTCGTTTTGTTGACAAACCAATTATCATTGTGCTTTATGTTGAGTTCCTTAGTCAGTTCTTCTTGTAGTTTGTTGAATTTATTTTTGTGTATTTCGTCATGTTTTTTCTGCGTTCCTGTTATTATGATATTTTCGTTAAACTGAAATTGTTGTCTTTCTTCGTGTGAAAGATTATCGTTTAACTTGTTTTCTATGTCACTTAAAATTTTGTTATTGTATTTCAATTCTTCGTGTTTTTGTTTTATAACTAAGTTTAATATTTTACCTTCAAAATTTTCTATGTATGATTTTAATGTAGATTGAATGTGGTGATGATGACATAAAATGGTTACTCTCCTTAGGAGACAAACACTGCTTACCAACAAGAAGAACACATTTCCCTTTATTCAAATATATTGCGGACGCGGAAGATCTCATACAAACAAACAATGACAAAGAACAACAAGAAATGGGAAGAACAAAATTAACAAATATGCTGGAAACACATATGAATAGAAGCAGAGAGAGCAATAGAGACAAATACGTGATAGGCACAGTGGAACGAACCCGAAAATTTCTAAACCAAAATAAAGACATATTAATACTAAATGCAGACAAAGGCAACGTGACTGTAGCCATGAACAAAAATGATTACAAAGAAAGAATGTCCAATGTGCTCTCAGACATGATGACGTATCAACGTATCAATAAGGACCCTACGTCAAACCTTCAAAAGAAAAATAATGATATCGTTGAAGAACTTTTCAAAAATAATATAATTTCGACAATAGAGAAGAAAAGACTCAAAACAGAAATTGCGATTGCCCCAAGAATATATGGCTTGCCAAAGATCCACAAAGACGGCTATCCATTAAGACCCATATGTTCGTCTATAAATTCCCCGTCAATAAAACTGTGCAAATACATAGTAAACATATTAAATAATTTGACGACAAAATCAGTTTACAACGTAAGGGATTCTGTGCAATTTAGGGATAAGATAAAGAACCTGACAGTTAATAATAATGAAAAAATGGTTTCATTCGACGTGGTCTCACTGTTCCCAAGTATTCCAGTAGAATTAGGACTAAATATAATTGAAGAAAGATGGGAAGAAATAGAACAATATACAAACATAACCAAAGACATGTTTCTGAATATTGTAAAATTTTGCATAAAGGACAACAGATACTTCAAGTTTGATGACAAAATATACAAACAAAAAGCAGGGCTACCGATGGGATCTCCAGCATCACCCATAATTGCAGATTTGGTTATGGAATCACTGCTCAACGAAAGCTTGCAAAGATTACAATCAAAACCAAAGATACTGACGAAATACGTGGATGATTTGTTTTTAATTATAAGGGAAGATGCAATACAAGAAACGCTGACAGAACTAAATAGTTTCAACAAAAACATTAAATTTACGTTGGAAGAAGAATGCGACGGAAAAATCCCATATTTGGACACATTAGTAATAAGAAATGCAGATAATACGATAAATATAAATTGGTATCAAAAACCTACAGCGTCAGGTAGAATAATAAATTACTACTCTAAACACACAAAACGAACAATTATCAATACAGCGAAAAACTTAATAAATAGAGTACTAACAATAAGCGACGAACAATTTCATTTCCAAAACAAATTAAAAATAAAAGACATTCTAATTAATAATAACTTCCCATTACATATAACCAAATCCCTAATTGAAAATTATTATAAGAATAAACATTCAAGTCGAGATTCGCAGAAAACAGACCCGCCGAAGATATACAAATCCCTGATATATTTACCAAATATATCAGAAAGATTGGAAAAGTCAGAAATATATGACAAAAATAAATACACAATAGCACATAGCTCACATAACACAACAAAATCTTTATTTACAAACATGAAAAGTAAAATTCCAAAAATGGACAAACATAATGTAGTTTACAAAATTGAATGTGGTGGTAACAAGGAAGAAAGTTGCGGAAAACTTTACGTTGGCACAACAAAAAACAAACTAAAAACTAGGATGTCAGCACACAAATCAGACATCAAATTAAGAAACAATAATTTGATACAAAAAACAGCGTTAGCCGAACACTGTAAACAGTACAACCATACACCTAAGATCGATGACGTGAGAGTGTTACAAACGGAACATCATTACAACAAGAGACTAACGATAGAGATGCTTCACATCAATAGTTTATCAACAACAAAGAGAATAAACAGCAAAGCAGACACGGACAACACAGCTTACTGCTACAGGCATTTAACAAAAAGAGATCGTGCAATATGCAAATAATTATCAGTGCAATAATAACACTTGACGGTAGTAGTCACACTACGCTAGTTTTAAGTTTATTATTTTAATTATTTGCAAGTAAGCGTTTTTTTTTTACATGTTTATGTCCTGTTCTGTGATAATGTTAATATGTTGTATGTTTTGTTATTTAATTTGTAGATCACCCTGAAGATGAAACTCAAAGAGCTTCGAAATATCGGAAAAAGAAAAATAAATAATTAAAAAAAAAAAAAACCAAAAAGTTTGACCTCAAGCTCAAATAATTGTTTTTATTAACTATCGAAAAAGGTCGAAAAACCAGAGAAAATATTTATAAATAGGTAATAATTTTTGCGAAAACTACTTTATTATTATTTCTAAAGCTTGGCTTTTGCTTAATGTATATGTATATCAACGCCCTGAAACTAGATTCTTGAAATGTGGTCAATGTTATTGTGCAGGGGTGAGATAAGGCTGGGTTTTTGGAAATTCAGATAAAAGTGTACTAAATGTACTGATCCGCACCTGTGGGTATTTGTGAACGGATACAGCATAACCCCCATATAACGGTACCCCCGATATTCGGTATTTGGATGATTTTAGCGACATTATTTACCGGAATTATTTCAAATTTGATATTTGAAGTTCGTAATGGATACTACAGCATATGAAATGAGATTGTCTGTGCAGATTCACGTCTTCGTATAGCCCCATATAACGGTACCCCCAATATTCGGTATTTTAATAAATTTAGCGACATTATTTACCGGAATTGTTTCAAATTTGGTATTCGAAGTTCGTAATGGATACTACAGTGT